CGGGAGGACGCAGGAAGTGGGAGGGCAAACAATCCTTGCCCTTTACTAATGAGTTGTATTTGACTTTCTAGAGAGGGTGGCCTACCTTTGGTAAAGAAGAGTCGGGCACTGTTTGGAAACCGACGTGTTTGTTCGGTAAACAAAGCAACTTATCTTCATTAGACACGATTGATTTGGATCCTCTCCTGAGCAAGGGAGACAAATTCTCATTACTCAAACACACAGACCGTTGAATTTTTATCTAATGATTACAAATATGATATACTTTTAAAGTTATAATAATTGTAGTCGTTAGATCAAAATTTAACAGTCTGTATATGTAAGTCATGAAGCTCTGTCTCCTTTGCTCAGGAGAGGATCCAAATCCCCAAACCCAATTGAAATGGTACTTTGATACTATTTCCTCTTAAAAACTAACTTGGAGGATAACTTGAAAAATTAAATACAATCTTTAAATCTCATCATGTATGTTATCTTCAGTTCTCCAACACTGATATTTTTTTTTAGGAGAAGAAAGACAACGAGTTGATGATCAAGGATTTGTTTGAAAGTGATTTAAAAATTGTTAAAATGGTTTTTGATGAAAATGTTATTGAAATTAATTTTTAGTAAAAATGTAAGTGAATTCTAAAAAAACACTTGAACTGATTCCTGAAAAAAGCACACAACTAATGCGTTATTCCAAGAAGCAATCTACATGCTTTTGGAACGTAAAATTATTTTCTCTAAAATAATTTTGAGTCATTGTAAAAGTACGTCTAAACGAATCATAAATCTACTGTATACAACTTGTTATACTTGATTTTTTTTATTATTATTTATCAAGCACACAAACAGTGAACCGCGTCATGGGGTACCTTCAAAAGGTTCACACTTTGGTCAAAATTTCGACTTATCCAAGTTGCCTTGCCTGACTGACTTAAACGCATCATCGTCCAAAAGAAGTGGACACAATTATTAATTTGTAGTTTGCTTGAATAATAACTCTTATTTCCAACATTTGTTTTTTTGGCACCTTCCAAACCAAAAGTCGATCACTTGAAATGATCCACGTGGTTTAAAACTTAATTTTTCAGCTTCGTGCAGCCACTACAATCTTTAGAGTAAATTGTAATTATGGTCTCTTAATTTTAACTTAATTGAAGCAATGATCTTTCAATTAAAAATCTATTACTATTGATCCATCAACTCATCAAAATATGCAGTTACGGTCCTTTAACTTAAAATATATTATCATTAGTCCCTCAACTTTAATTCAACTGGAGAAATGATACCTTAACTCTAATCTAATTGTAACAATGATTCTTCCAACATAACTCGTTTTGATGAAATTTTTGACGTTGTCGACGAAAATGATCATAATTACACACTTTGATGATTTGAGGGACCCTAATTATATAAATGGTTATTCCAACATAACTTATTTTGACAAAATTTTGACGAAATTGATGAAAATGACTATAGCTACATATTTTGATAAGTTGAGGGACCAATGGTAATGAATTTTTAGTTGATGGACCATTGTTCTAATTTGATTAAAGTTGATGAACCATTGCTACAATTTACTTAAATTTTTATTAGATTCCTAGCAACAATCCCTAATTAACAGGATTGAACCTTTTGCTGCTTAATTAACTAACATAACTAAAACTCATCTAAAAGTAATACATAAGATGATAAGCACCATCATCACTTTAGCATGTTTCTTTCCTTTGGATGTATAGCGGGATGTTCTTAGCTATGGGTATGGCGTTCTCTGCTGGAGCAGTCAACTCAAGTCTCCCTCCAGTTCCCTTTTCTTCCCTATAAAACGGGCAAACAAAATCAGTGGTGGTGAGCAGATTTTGGAGATAAAGGACGAGCCACCTATATAATTAAAAGGTGGAGAAATAATTACTATCTAATCCGCTAATACTATAATTCTATTAAAAAATAAAATTAAAAAATAATTTAGTATCGAACTTATCATTCACGATATTCGAAATTAAAACTTCACATACTAATGAAGATAAATAAATTTTTTTTTCGTTCTTTATAATAATATATAAGAGTAATTTCAATATATTTAATAAACTATTATCAGTTAATTTCCCTAAATGATATCTGGGTGTTTGCATTTACTAATGAGTTCTATTTAACTTTCCGCAGAGGGTGGCTCACCTTTGATAAAGAAGAGTCGCGCACTGTTTGGAAACCAACGTCTTTGTTCAGTATGTTGTAAACTAAACAAAAAATAATAATCAAGCAATAAACAAAACACAACGACTTCAGAGTTCCTCCACTATAGGATTATCTCTCTAACAACGGAAGCTTTATTGATTATCAACAAATACAAGAGAACTCACAAATACAAGTGTTCTCAAGTATACAAACGTATGCCTCTCATAACTTTCACACACAAAATTCTATCCCACATCGATCTATTTATCCTAATAGATGTCATAGGTTTACACAAAGTCCTTGGAATACAGGAAACCAAATCCTACAATAAAATCAAATTCCAAACCAACTAGAAAACACAAATCCAAATATCTTGCGTCCAAGATATCTTGATCCTTGTTTTAGTTTAGGCATGTTGATTTAATTCCAAATCCAACAATCTCCACCTTGGCATGAAATCCATAATGAGGCATCAAACAACTTCCGTTGCTCCACCATATCGCAAGATCAAACTTGCTTCAACTGCACCAAATCCAAGTAGTGCTCGAACTTAGCTGCATTAACCACCTTTGTCAACATATCAGTTGGATTATCTTTTGTAGCAACCTTTTTTAGACAAATCTCACCTTCAACTACCACTTCTCTCACACAAAAATATCGTACATCAATGTGCTTAGTCCTATCATGATGTACCTGATATCTGGCCAAATAAATGGCACTTTAGCTATCACAATATACATCCAACTTATGTCATTCTACACCTAAGTCTCCTAACAACCCTAGAGTCCACATTGCTTCTTTGATAGCTTCAACGATCACCATTTATTCTGCTTATGTGGTTGATAGTGCCACCGTTGGTTGTAATATTGATCTCCAGCATATAGGACCATTTGCCATAGTAAACACATTCCCAGTCATCAATCTTTTAGTCTTCAGCAAAGTCTGAGTCTACACATCCAACTAAGAACTTATCAATTCCTTCATCAGATCTTTCAAAACAAATACATTTGTCCCTCGTTCCATGTAAATACCTTAGTATCCACTGAGCAGCATTCCAATGTTCTCTTCCAAGATTATGCATGAACCTATTAACAATTCCAACTGCATGTGCTATATCAAGACGAATACACACCATAGCATACATTAATCCTCCAACCAAATTAGAATATGGAATACCATCCATATTCATCTTTTCTTCATCAGTTTTGGGACATTGTTGACTGCTCAACTTGAAGTGAGCACATAATGGAGTTCCTACATGCTTAGTGTCTTTTGTTACTCCAAACTTTTGTCACAACTTCTCAAGATATCGCTTTTGAGACAAACAGACCAAACCTTTTTGTCTATCCCTTAAGATCTCAATTCCTAGTATTTTCTTGGCTTCATCAAGATCCTTCATTTCAAACTCCCTTCTCATTTGCTCCTTCAACTTTTCTATCTTTGAAATATTGCTTGAGGCTATGAGCATGTCGTCCACATAGATTAACAAGTACACAAACGAACCATCTTTCAACTTCTTATGATAAACACAGTGATCATAGTAACTTCTTGTATAGTCTTGACCCTTCATAAAATTGTCAAATTTTAAATACCACTCGGGTTGTCTCATATAAATCTCTTATCCAAATTATCATGAAGGAATGGAGTCTTCACGTCTAGTTGTACCAATTCAAGGTTGATGCTTCAAACCATAAAGAGATTTTCTGAGCTTACAAACCAATCTTTCTTTGCCCTTCACTCGATACCCCTCAGATTGTCTCATATAAATCTCTTCATCCAAATTACCATGAAGGAATGCAGTCTTCACGTCTAGTTGTACAAATTCAAGGTTGAATTGTGCAACTAGGGTAATCATTATTCGAATGGATGAGTGCTTAACCATAGTAGAAAAAATCTCATTGTAATATATTCCCTCATTCTGAGCATATCTTTTAGCCACTAGCCTAGCTTTAAATCTTACCAAGCTCTTGTTATCCACTTCACCCTTCTTTGCATAAACCTATTTGCAGCCAATTGCTTTCCTTTCTCTAGGCAGCTCCACCAATTCCCAAGTCTTATTCTTGTGAAGGGAGAGCATCTCATCGTCCATTGCATCAGGCCATTTACTGCTTCTTCAAAATTAGTGGAAATTTCAGCCTCAATTACTGGCAATGCATATCCCTTGCAGGCCATGCAATCTTTATATCTCGTAGGTAGGGATGTCTCTTTTTCCCTTCCTTTTGGCTATGCAATCATCTTGTTTCTTTAGTTCTTCTGATGGTGTTTCTTCTTCATGATCACCCTCTTCATGTTCAAGTTGATCACCTTGCCTTTCTTCTTCCACAGCTTCCTTACTTGGCTGTGAATTCACAATTACTTGTTCCCCAAGCTCTACCATCTGAACATCTTCCTTCAATTTCATGTGACTTCCATCGAATGTCACATCTCTACTTACTATAATCTTGTTCAACTCGAGACACGAAAGTCTGAAGCCTTTCACACCACTATTGAATCACATAAAGACAACTTTCTTGGCTCATAGATCCAGTTTGTTTTCCTTCACATGAAAGTAGTCACTGCATCCAAAACTAGTAGCTTATCGTAGTCCCGAGCTGATTCTTTAGACCCATTGAAACTTCAATGGGTGTTATACCCTCCAATGTTGTTGATGGTAGTCGATTAAGCACATGACATGCATAGCTCAAAGCTTCTGCCCAAAATCTCTTTGGCAACTTAGCTTGAAATAGCATGCAACGAACTTTCTCGACCAAGGTCTTATTTATTCTCTCTGCAATCCTATTATGCTATGGAGTATGTCTAACATTGAAATGCCGAGTAGCTAATCAAACATCTAATCTAACAAAATTTATCGTTAGACAAAAAAAAAAAAAAGAATAATGAATGTAGAACAAAACAATGAGATACAAAAAACGTAGAGAAATGGATCTGCCTAAAATCTACTTACTTTTGTGGTATGACAAGAAATTAGAAAATCTCAATCACTATGTGCCTCCTATGCGGCTATACAAAGACCATTTTCCCTCATTCAATTTCCCCTTAATCTCGGTTCTCGCAATCCGAATCAAAAACAAAGTTGCAGAGAAAATAGCAAGAATCAGCATGACAAACACGTTGTTCCACCCCGTCGTGGAGATATACCCGGCCAAAAGCGGGCCAAGAGCTGCCCCAACAGAACCTGTTCCGTCTATGATTGCAGTTACAGTGGCTAATGCTCGGGAATTTCCTTTGATCGTGGTCTGCGTACCAAGATCAGCAGCAACGGCTGTTGTGATGAGTGAGTACGGGCCATTCACCAGCAATCCCGAAAGAAACATCAAAACAATGTTGGCAACCATCGATAGGCTTCCATAAAGCCGGTAGAGAACAAGGGCTGGAACCGAAAGTAACAAAAACGCGATTGAGGTTACAGCTCTAGCTTCGATCATATCAGATATCAATCCTGCTAAAATTCCACCAAAGACTCCTCCAATATCGAATATGGCTGAAAGGTTCCCGGCAGTTTTGTGTGACAAATGCATGCCGGCAACAGCTGCAAGGTGAAACAAAACTCATAATGAATACAAGAAGATTAACAAAGGTGGTCGCTTAAAACTAAAGCATGAAACCCGACAATAATCACAAGACTATCCCAAGAATTCAATTGCAAAATCATGTATACAAATCTAAATCGAGGAAGTACCTGTGTGCCTTATGTAAAAGGGCAACCAGTAAAGGAAAGTGTAAGACACAAGCTTCGAAAAGAAGAGGCAGAAAGCAAATGGTGCCACACCCGGTAACCTCCATGCCTCTAGAAACCCAACTGCAGCCAAAGAACCTGTGTCTGCATCGCCATCTGCATTCTCTGTTCCAAAATCTGCAGTCTCTGATCGAAGAAGCCCAGCTTCCTCTGATTCTACCTTCCCCTCCAAATTCTCCACGCCATTAACTTCCACATTCATCTGAATCTCCTTCACCAGAGACTCAAACCCCAAGTCTTCTGGACACACAGGAAGAAACAAAAACACCACAATCCCAACCAAAATCACCAACACCCCAGGCACCACAAAGGACCAACCCCATCCGAATTCCAAGACCCCGGATGCCACAACCGACCCAATGATGTTTCCAACCGAGGTATGTGAGCTCCAGACCCCCATGATCAACCCCCTCTTCCCTTTCTCAAACCAGTTTCCCACAATAGCCACCACACAGGGCCACCCAATCGACTGAACCAATCCACAAAGAAGTTGAACCGCCATAAAGTACCCCAATACATGAACATCAAACCAATATCCTAACCCGAAAAATATCGTTAAAATGCCACTACACATCATCCCAAACACAAGAAACAACCTCAAATCAATCCGATCACCGACATGCCCTGCAAAGTACATTCCAATCGAATACGCGGAAAGAAACGCAAGATCAAGCTCTCCTAGCCGGTGGGTGCCCCGGGGACCATCAAAGGGAGCCCACCCCGTGTCGACGGAGCTCGAATTGGCCTGAACTGTGGGCCCAAGCACGCTCTTGACAATGCTTGGGGGCTTTCTGGAGGCATGGAAGGAAGCATAGGCGAGGAAGGTGATGATTAGGACTGAAATTTGGTGGAAAGCTAGGGTTTTGTGTGGGGGTTTGAGATTTGGGAAAAAATTGAGAGCTGGAGCTAGGGTTAGGGTTTCGGATCGCATTTTGTATCCGATCCCAAAATATTGCTCCACGGAAATGCTCAGATTATACAGTAACTATACTTACAGCAAAAAAAATGGTGGATCCATAAAGATGGAATCTTTAATGCACAGAAAATTCAGTGGCTGCGAAGATGGAAAAATGTATAAAAACCCTAATTTTACCTGATTTTCCCGATCAAATCTCTGTTTGTGCAGAGGGGGAAATGGGGACGAAGCTAGGGTTAGGGTATTGAGATTGCCTCTGTGAGATCCGGTCGAAATTTGTAAAGAAATCTCTGTACAAAATCATAAAGAGTAAAATAATAAGGATTTCGGATTTGTGTTGAAATTTGAAGGAGGAAGGCCTGAGATTCAAAGATTGGGGCTTTCCTGGAAATGTAATGTCCAAGAAAACCCTCTGTTTACCTAATTAATTATTAAATTAAAATTTGAAATTAAAAAATCAAATGGAGTGAAAGAGACAAGTCAAAATCGTGGAAATGGAAGATCTTGCTGACAATGTCAGTACACGAAGTTAGTCACACACTGTCATACATAAACATTAAAACACGTAACAATGTATAATTAACTTAAAAAGTATAACGGTGTAAACAAGTCTCTTTCGTAGAAAAATGGGATAAAACATGTATAAATTAGAGAGAACAATATCATCAGATAACATTACAATTTAGAAATTCTCACACCAATTTTTCTATTAAGTTAGGAAGGATTTGACGAATATCGGATACAACGGTCGCAAAGGGTATTGGACATCAAAAAGTTACAACAGCTAAATTTACTATTGCATTCAAAATTGTAACTTGCGTGTTCAACAACTACTTCTACTGGTTTTCATCCAAATAAAATCGCGTACAATTTCGTTCCTCAACTTTGGACAAGCGGACACCGTGTTGTGAAGCCCCCGCCACGATCATATCATTTGCAGATGAAGATCAGCTGCCTGCTGAGCCAGCTCCACCATCATAGCCTCGTCGAAGAATTTGTTGATGCTCACATCCTCGCTCATTCCCTGCAAAATTCAACAAAACAAAACTCAGCCGTATAACGAGGCAGCAGTGCATAGTTTGGAAAAATTTTAGCATGTGAGTTAAACTATTCTCGAGGTACCAAAAGTGGAAGAGAGAGCAGAGGGAATGTTTTACCTTTCTACGTCTTGTCTTGACCATAAACTCACGGGCCAGATGCTGAATTGGGGCAGGTTCAAGGGGTCGCAGAACGATGCTCTTATCAAGTGGATCCCCAGGGACTATAGCCCAGTGATCAAACACTGAGAGGCAGAAAGCCTGTCCTTGGGTATGGTACCTCAAATCAGTTTCAAAGCCAAATGATTCGATCACTGGTAAGAACGCCTGAAATTCAGTGGACGAGAAAAATAAATGAAAAATCAATATTATGGCTGGACAGTCTTCACTCTCATGATAAAATCCAAGATCAGTATAATGCAACTGAAACTCAACAAAATAAAATTGATCCAACATACCTTGACGATATAAGCAGGGGTCCCAGGTTGAGGAACATCAGCAGTAACATGTCCACGCCTGCGAGATAGAACAGTGTAGATTGCAGAAATACAGTCGATGGGTGTTTGTATCTGAAAAGAAGGGCATCAGAAATTAATCAGAAAATCAAACTTCAGCGCCCCTCATTGAAGCGAGGAGATTCATACATTAAGCAATCTAAGTTCCTGAGGACTTGAATACAACCTGTTTTGAAAATCAATCTCATTATGACGTAAGTGAAGGAGCAAGGATATACCTCCACATAATATACTGGCTCCATAAGCCGCGGTGTTGCCATCAGGAAAGATGAATAGGCCACACGTCGAGATGTGGGAATGATCTGGCCAGATCCACGATGCAATGGCTCTTGGGCAATCCTTGCATCCACAATTTTGAACTTGACATTTCTGATTGGTTCATCACAAAGGGGTCCTTCTCGAGCACCCCATTGAAACCTGTGCGAAATAAAATTATAATGAGCTATAAACTGAAACAACAATATAGGGGAAAAGAACAAGAATTCAAATAAAATACCCTTGAACAATTGAATCCTTCACAGCATTCAGCAAGCTTTTGTCGACTTCAGTGGAAAGAGTGTCATCTAATAGAATGTTAGGTCCCTGCAAATATACCCTTTTGTCAAACAAAAGCACTAGGTCTCGAACGTATAGCTAAATTTTGAAGGGAGGGAGAGATGAATAAAAGAAAGTTATATAGAAGATATATAAAGCTATGTTTTGATTTCACAAGGTGATTTGCTATCCGCGGGTTGGGGCGGGGCTATATGAAGCTATGTTTATACTATAATAGGATTAAAACAGAACCAAGGACAGCAAAAGCACTTCATAAACAAAATAACGTGCTGCCTGTAGCAGGTGTATTACCTGCTTATCAGGGCCAAATGCCCATATGGAACGTGCAGCAAGAACATCCCACTCATATCTAGTCTGGAAAAAATTGCCTATATCCTTCCGAGACCAATCAATGCTTACAACACCATTCTCAATGTCCTCAGCAAGTCCTCTCTCCAATGGCTCCGCAATCTACAAAAGGACAAAGGTTTTTAGCATGTCATATTTTAAAAACTGAATCACATAAAATTTCTGAAAATGAGGTTGCTTCTTACCATAGTTATTTTATTCTTCTTATTGGGTGTTTCAGCAAAACATTTCATTGACGAAGACTCCACCACTGTTTCACAAAATGAAACAACAGGATCCGCAACCTACAAACAAACGCATATCCATCAAGAAAAAAAAATTCTTGACATCCCTAAGAGGTGGAAAAATTGCGTTAAAAGAAAAAATGTGAAGAGAGGATGAGAACTTGGAGCAATCAATTACCTTGACTTCTACTTCTGAATATAACTCTCTAAGATCCTTCATTATTGAATCCAAGTAGAGTTCTCCTGTACCTAATATTGTGTGCTCCCCAGACTCCTCAACTTTAGTGATTGCAAGAGGATAACTCTTGCTTATCTTTCTTAGTCCCTCCACCATCTTTGGCAGCTCACTTGGATTTAGTGGCTCAGTTGCTGTTTTCACAACTGGCAGAGTATTGAACTGAAGAGGACGGAAGATGTATACATCCTCGTCGTAATATTCATTACAGATGGTGGCAGTTTTCATTATAGAAGCATCCACACCTTCAATAAGAACCCAAGTACCAGGAGGAGCCTCGGCTATTGGTATCCTATCTCGAGCTTGATAAAGCCATAACTTAGTCACCTCTTTGACTGTCATGTCCTCCTCATCCTCTGGTGAATAGCCTTCTCCCAATACCCGCACAGTCTGCCCTGTCTGAATCTTGCCACTATAAACCCTACCAAATGCATCAAACACACTACAGTCGGACTTGGGATACAATTTTGTCACATTGACCATCAAAGGACCATCAGGATCACAATCCTTCATGGCCTTGTAAATCAAAGAGTCTTTTGGTCCAGTATATATATGGTCTACTTTCCTCATTGCGGCACCTTTAGGAGAAGGAATATGTTGAACCAGCATATCAGTAAAGCCTGAGGCATATCCGAAAACTGAGCTACAAGCCAACCTCAGCAGAGGTCTAACATTCAACTTGTAAGCTGCATTGCTGAGGGTGACACCAAATTCAGCAAGAGTTGCCTCCACACTCTTTTTATGTTCCCCAATCACCTGGCTATAAATTTTATACAGGGGTTCGAGCACAAACTGGACAAATGACCTTTCGCCTCCACTGGCAGGGGGTTTTCTCCTAAAACTCCTGTCATCTGGATGATAGTACATATCTCCCCAGAGACGAGAGGCAAACTTATCTACGTCCGTGTTATCAGCCCCATGGAGTTTAAGATATAGCTTTGCAAACGATTGCAACGTGAATGACCATCCTGCGGTAGCACTTGCAAAGCAAACATTTCCTGCAACAGGGTCAATAATTTGTACATTGCCAGCAGTTGAAGAGGCCGCAGTTATGTGGGTATTAATGACGTCCAAAGTATGCCTTATCTTGAAGTAAGCATCTCTTGGGGGCAATTTGAGTTCTGTTATCAATCTGTCAACCTTTGACATGAAAATTCATGTTGGTACTAATAACAATATAGTTAATGGGTTCATGCTGTGATAAAATGGAGGGAAAATGAGAAATAAAGAAGCCCTGAAATAAGAGAAAATCTTACCTTGTTGATTACAACCACAATTGGTAGCCGCTCTTGGATTGCATGGCGTATAGCCCTCTCGGTATTTACCTGTCAATCAAAATCATAAAATTTTCTAAGCAAGTGGAATATCATACCCATTCTGACATTCTTCTACAGATGAGGCAGTGATATATGACAATATCATGTTGATGATAGATCTTAACTTAACAAAACATAAAATCGTAGTATAATAAAGGGCACAATATCATATAGCATATTTATTATTCAATGAAAAGAAAGATGAGTTGCTCACCATCATTCCTTCTGCAGCGTCCACAATCAAGACAGCACCATCGGCAAGCCTAAGGGCTGCAGTCATTTCATCAGAGAAATTGACATGACCAGGCGTATCCATGATGTTGCACAAATACGATTTACACTTGCTATCCTCGAGTACAAGGGACATAGGAACTGTCTTAATGGATATCCTCCTCTCTTGCTCATCAATCCTTGTATCCGTGTACCTCATGTGCTTATCGCTATTTGAATCAAAAGTAGACATATGGTGAGTCTGCTCCACCAACATATCCATGAACACTGTCTTCCCGTGCTGCAAGTGCCCCACAAGTGCTACATTCCTAACCAGAGAGGGGTTCGACATGAGTCCCAAAAGGAACTGGTTCGACACGTAGGTGGAAGAATCCTTGACACCAACCTCAAACTTGACATTCCTTACAGGCTTAATAATGGGTTGTTCCAGAGGCTGTGCATCTTCATCCATAACCAATGTCTCAACATCTTCACCATAGACCTCTTCCGCGGTTGGATAATACTTTTTATCCTCAGCAAGGACAACCTGGTTATCCATATCGACATCATTGGACGCAGTCAGCCACCCATTGGGACCAGCAGCTGCATCATCGCCATCTGATGCATCCCTATCCTCTTGCCTATCGGGCAGCTCCTCATCCTCGTCCTCTCTATCACTCTCTTGATCAGACTCGATTTCCGGGCCTATGTAATTCCCAAACTCATCGTACAGACTGTCATCCATCCTACCAAATCTGCTATTTCAAAAAAAAATCTATTAGTTCACTAAAACACTAACTAATTCACTTATAAATCAAATGGATTCCGACTAAATTCGATACAGGAACAAGTTGGTCATCTTAGTTTTCTAAAAGTAACACAAAAATCAAAATTTCGTTCAAATTCTGGAAATCTGGCAACAAAGGTTTAAACTTTGAATGCAATTTAACACTAATTAGCCACTGAAA